GCTATAAGCTCAGCTTCCATTGTAGAATTAGCAATTATAGTCTATTTTTTAGACTTCCAACATATAGCACCACCACTCGAGGTAAAAATAAAACCCGAGGTAGAGAGAGAATCACCTGACAAAGTATTCCAATCGGCATCACTATATCCCTCAAGTACCGCAGGATACTTGTTATAAAGCAAACCATAATTTTTGGTTCCAGATAAATATCTCATAATTCTTTCCATGGCTAGCCAATGATCTCGACTTGGCTTGCTAGTAAACCTGCTAAGTACTCCAACAGCATATGCAATGTCAGGTTTAGTACAGTCAGTAGCATATCTCAAACTACTAATCATGCTAGCATATTCCTTTTGATTAATTACTTCTTTTTCATTTGTTACAATAGACAAATGTATACTTGCATCAAAAGGAGTAGCAACATGTTTACAGTTTAGAAAATTATATTTCTTTAACATTTTGTCAACATAATGTGACTGATCAAGACAAATACCATCATTAGTCTTGGTAATTTTAATTCCCAAAATAAAATTGGCTTTACCAAGATCTTTCATATCAAAGTGGCTATTGAGCATATTTTTAGTCTCATTTATAATATGCAAATTAGAGCCAAACATAAGTAGATCATCCACATATAGGCTAATAATCACATGTGCATTTTCACCATTTTTATAATACATGCACTTATCACATTCATTAGTCTTATAGCCATTCTCAAGCATGCAGGAATCAAATTTCTCATGCCACTGTTTAGGAGCTTGTTTTAAACCATAAAGGGATTTAGTTAGCTTACACACCTTGCTTTCTTGGCCAGGCTCCACAAAGCCTTCGGATTAGTCCATGTAAATCTCCTCATCTAGATCTCCATTTAAAAATGCTATTTTTACATCTATTTGATGAATTTTTAAATCATGAATTGCAGCCACTGCAATCAACAGTCTAATGGATGTAACTCTAGTAACCGGAGAAAAAGTATCAAAGAAATCAAGATCAACTTGTTGCTTAAAACCTTTAGCGACAAGCCTCGCTTTATATTTATCTATAGTTCCATCCAGTTTAAGTTTTTTATGAAAGACCCATTTACACCCAATAGTTTTACAACCTGGAGGTAAATCCACTAGCTTTCATGTTTTATTTGAAAGTAGTGAGTCTATCTCATCATTTACAGCCTCTCTCCAGAAAATGGTATCAGGTGATGATAAAGCTTCTTGCACCGTAAGAGGAATTTCTTCCACGTTGTAAAGATAATAGTCAGGGCCAAAATCTTTTTCAACTCTAGCTCGTTTACTTCTTCTTGGTTGGATTTGAAAATTTTCTTTTTCTTGAAAAACTTGAGAAGGAGTAGAAGAGCTAGGCATGGATAAAATATTTTCAAAAATTATTTGACCCCCACTATTTCTAGATTTGGAAGGAAATTTATTTTCATGAAAAATAGCATCACTTGATTCAAAAATAATATTATTTTCCATATCAAAAAATCTATAAGCTGTACTATGCAACGCATATCCAAGAAAAGCACAGGTGGTAGCTCGTTCACCCAATTTAGGTCATTTAGGATCTGCAAGCCTCATAAAAGCTAAACAACCTCAAACCCTTAAATAACCTAGATTTGGTTTATGCCCCCGCCACAACTCATAAGGTACAATTTTAGTCTTTTTGTGTGGCACTCTATTTATCACATGGCAAGCTGTCAAAATAGCCTCGCCCCAAAGATTTGAGGGAGCACCTGAATCAATAAGCATAGCATTCGTCAAGTCAATTAACATTCTATTTTTTGTTTCAGCTACGCCATTAGATGAAGGTGAATATGGTGGAGTAGTCTCATGAATAATTCCCAAAGACTGAACAAAAGAGTTGAATCCAAGAGATTCATACTCTTGGCCTCTATCACTTCTAATTCTTTTAATCTTTTTACCGAATTGATTTTCCACTTCAAGAAGGAATTTTTTAAATTTCTCAAAAGCATCACTTTTATTTTTCAATAAATATACGTTTGTGTATTTTGAAAAATCATCAATAAAAGTGATAAATTATCGGTTACCACCTCGAGTTAAAATTCATTCAAACTCACACAAATCAGTATGAAATAATTCTAGCAATTCAGTATTTTTTCCAACACTTTTATGAGGCCTCTTGGTAATTTTTGCTTTACTGCAAACTTCACATTTCTCAAAATTTTTTGTCACTTTAGGAATTAATCCTAAACTACTCATGATTCCCACATATTTACTATTTATATGACATAAGCAAGCATGCCAAAAATTAATAGAAGACAGCATGTAAATCGAATTGGTAGATGGTTTATTAATCTCAACATTCAATTTGAACATTCCATCACAAGCATAACCCTTACCCACAAAAATACCCTTCTTGGTAATCACATATTGATCAGATTTCATAGTTTGCTTAAAACCAGCCTTATTCAACAAATAACTTGACATCAAATTCTTCCTCATGGACGGTGTATAAAGCACATCTTTTAAAGTAAGCACACGTCCAAAGGTGAACTTAAGGTCAACCTCACCACTCCCAAGTATCTTGGTTTGACTAGAGTCACCAAGCATAATTGTTTTCTCATCATCAAAAGGAGTATACACCTTGAACCAAGTTTGATCATAACAAACATGTCTAAATGAATAACCAACTTCACTTGATTAAGCTTATAATGAATAACCAACTTCACTTGATCATAACAAATTAGTGATGCAATGTTTGTGAGTTCAATTTCAATTTTTTGCACGATTAAGCTTCAGTAATAACCAACTTCACTTGATTAAGCTTATAATGTGATTTACAATTTGGGATTCTTTTTTGTGTACCAATTATTACGTGGTCCTAAGTTTTTGTATTTAAAACTTAGAAATGAATCGATCTGTGAATTAATTTTTTCCAAGAATGCTTGGTTACGAGGAGTGTAACCAACAGTAGGTGGGCTTGATTGTAGAACCGACACGTTCTGTGTATGTATTACTGTATAAATTGTAATTAGCTTCACATAAACATAGATCAATCTAATGCTAGCCCAAGAATGGTTGTGTAAATTTTAGATGTTTTGAGTTATTTAACAATGGCTATTTGCAAATTATGATTTTAAAATTAAAATATATTTACCATGGTTGTGTAAATCTTAGACAAGCCTTTTTCTTGTATTGGTATTAATTTTTATTTTATTTTATTTATGTTGTTAATATTTTATTTGAAATAGTTTACAGTTTTTCTCAAGTTTAGTTTGAATTTGAGAGAACTTGAGGGCCTGCTGGCCTCATCAAGTGTTTCATCATTTTATAAGACTGTTAGTGTGTATCATCTATGGAAAAAAATGAGATTGATTCAATAATTGTAACCATTTTATTTTATGGTGTTCATTTACCAAAAGTGAATGATTTATTTTAAAAAATATACATGTCTATTTTTTTTAAGACAAACGAGATAAAGTGAATAGGTTACGATTATTGAATTGATATAAACATTTTTATAGGTGATAAAAATCAAGGGCTTTACAAAATGAACAGTTCGAAACAATGAAACAGAACCTCAAGTTCAAAGCCTAACTTTTTATTTGATAATAAAGAGTCGGACCTCAAGTTCAAAGCCTAATTTTTTATTTGATAATTAAGAGTCGGTTATGTGGTTGAATGAGAGATTAATAGATGAATGAGTTCTTATACAGAAAAATGATGTATTTGACACTATTGACAATTGGATTATTATGTAATGGTTCCAAAAATAAAATATCATCCAATGCAATTGTAAAAGTTTATGTTCTTTTTTCTTTTTCTTTTTTTCAAGACAACAATATAATAGTTTTACAGTTTATTTAAAGTTTTAAAATTTTAAATGCTTAGTTTATTTATTTTTGTAATCGAATTTGTTTAACATACATGTAAGGTGACTCATTTATAAAAAAAAAAAATTGGAGTTGTAACTAAATCTGCTAAATGATTATGACGACGGATTGTTAATCATTGGCTGGTGAAACCTAATAATTGTTTTATTTTGATCAGATAATATTATAGTTATTATAGTTGAGGTGATTAATATATACAAATTTATAGATGAATGTAATAAAGTGATATTCGCTAATAATGAAAAGTCTCTGTGTAATTACCCTATTAAAAATTAAAAACTAAGGAATGAGTAAAATATAATTGTGCTGAATTTAAAATATTTAATGTGTCTTTTTTTTTAAAAAAAAACTAAGAGAAAAGAAATTAGTCTAATTAACCCAAATACTATTTACAACACTGCTACATCTGTTGAATTTGTTTAGTCTGAACTCATCCGAATGAGTCTCTTTCCGGGAAGAATCTTCCAATTCTGGAAAGAGACTCCTTTAGACCTTTAGACAAATTCAGGATAAACAAGATTCTTCCTTAAAAGAGACTCATTCCGACTTAGGCTAAACAAATTTGATGGATAAATCATTAATTTACTATTTATGAGGAAAGTGGAAAAGAGTTGGTAAGGAGGAAATAGCCTTTTTAAACGTGTTTGATACAACTTATTATAAGTAAAAATTTAAAAATTTGAAAGTATATTAAAAGTATTCTTCTCTTAACTTTTAAATAATCAGTTTATATAATTGATTTAAGTTATTTTTTGCCAAATAAATTAGAAGCAAAAGTTACAACAAACCGATTGACAGAAATTTTAAAAATCAAATAAGCTATAAGTTGCTCAGTTAATTCATCTGAGCCAAACAGCCCCTTTGAAATCTGTACATTTCGTCAACGCGGTTTGTAGGGACAGATTGAGGACTTTGTTTATATGGGATAACCATTTGAACCTTATTAGAACCCGAGATTTTTTTTTTGTTTTTTTGAGGACTTTAATTTTGAAAAGGACATGTGGAATAACCATTTGAACCTTATTAGAACCCTTCCAACCCCAATAGATAAAAGAGAGGAGGGATGGCATAGTGATAACTCTTCAATTCGAACCTGCCTTGAACCCCATAATAATATATTAGTGGCTCGGAAAAAAAAAAGGAGGAAATAAATTGCCGGTCCCCTTTCTTGGTTATCCATATAAATAAAGGTGGGTGGGTTGAGGTCCCCTGATAAGTTATTCTCGGAAAATGGCCGAATCTGATGGATATAATAGCCCTTTTGATTACAGTAGCGATGAAGAAGAGGAAATAGAAGCATATTTGCCTGACGATTTCAAGCAATATGTGGACACTCAACTCAACCGCTGCCCACTGGTGCATCATGATTGTGGTTTCTTCTGTGGATGGTTTTTCTGGAGCCGAGAAGACGACCATTCCGAACATCCTCCGAGTGTGTGGGACTTTTATTATGACCAATCCGAACATCCTCCCAGTGAGTGGGACTTTTATGTCTCTTCTCTTTTTCTTCTTCCTCTTCCTTTGAATATGGCTTTTATTTATTTAATTTGTAATCATGGAGTTTTATTTATAACTCAATTTTAAATCAACAGTCACCTACTACCTGTTTTTCAAATCTCACTTCTCTCCTCCAATTTTGTTTTTTTTTTGTTATCAGATATTTTGGATTTAAAAAAGAAGATCAAATATGTCCTTCGAGAGTGTTTACTCGATTGGTTTCATTATCCATCACTAGTTCAATTTTGGGCACCCACAATGACAATGGAGGGCCAGTCTTATCTTACAACTCAAAACCAACCTTTCGTTCTTTATACATCTAATCTAGGGGGTGATGACAGTAAAGGAGATGTTAAAGGAGTTTGTGAGCATAGGATGATCTCTAAGGACTATAAATTTTACACGAATAGAGAGAGTTCAGATGAACAACTTGGGGCTCCTGGCCGTGTGTTCAACCATGGATTTCCCGAATTCACTCCCAATGTAGAACATTACTCTATCAAAGAGTATCCATTGCGCGACCATGCTTTACGTTGCCAAGTTGCACAATCTTTAGCTATCCCACTGTTTGATCTTTCTACCCACTCATGTGTTGGTGTACTTGAGATAGTTTCAACAACGCCCCCAATAGACTCTCTATCGCACTACTACTTTGACCTGCAGGTTTTTTGTAATTTGAAGGTTGGTCCCCCAACTCACAAATTGGCATTTTTTATGTCTTTCTAATCTTGGTTGATTCATTCCTTTCTTATATGCATGCAGAATTGTGCTATCAAAAAAAATAGATGAGAAGTGTGTTTTTAATAGGGTAAATTACAAAAATATAATTTGTTTAAAATACAGATTACTCCATGTTATTCTGAAAAGTACATCACGCCTCTTCAAATTCTTAATTGTATAACAAATGATTCATTTTATTAATAAATCATCAATTGCTGGAACATGGCTCCGTGCTCCTCATGTGTCTATTCTACATAAAATTCATAGTTTTTTTGACCAACTAAACACAAATTACAAAAATTAAAGCGCTAATCTTTTGAAATCAAAATTAATCGGACTAAAATAATTAATACAAGACAAAGCTAGATGGACCATTAGCACAACTATTATTTGTTCATTTTTTTCATCTTGTCAGTGCTGAATGGCATGTAAGGAGTATGTAATTGCATTATTTCCTCACGGTTGTTATCAATATCAATGGGACACAAAATGTAAAATTAAATGGTAAATTGTTATAATTAAAATTATAAGATCCCAAAAGATACAATGAACAAACTATTGAATTGAGGATAAGATAGTGTGTTGTTTATTTTCTCTGCATGGGCTTCTATGGTAGAAAGAAAGAAAGCAAAGCAAAACGTCAAGTTGTATTTTTTTTATTGCATTCCGTGCTCATTTAGGTGTGATTGAATTGTTTTTCCATTAATCTCTTATATGCTTCCTTTTCTTGGCAAACAAATATTCTACATTTCAAAGTGTACAAGATTCCTTAGTCGCATCTTTCCATTCCCCTGCAGGAGGTAGGTCTGGGATCTTCACTTTCAGTTGCAAACCATGGCACGGATATAGTAAGTGGTACACTGTAATGTAATGTCAAATTTGGTATTTTATTTTATTTTTGAAATTAATATGATGAGAAATATCTTCTGACAATACTTGGACGTGACAATACTTTTCAACCAATTTCAGAATGTGAAAAAAAGTGAAGCCTTACATGAAATCAGCAAGGTGTTGGAAGTTGCACGTGAAGTTCATGGTTTACATTTTGCTCAAGTATGGGCCCTGTGCAGAGTAGACTGGATATGCAGGGCACTGATTGAGGGTGACATCTTCCATGTGATGCCCAGATTCGATGAAGTTGCCCACTACGAACTGCCCGCTATGGCCAGAGCCGAACATCACTTGAGAAAGGGGCAAGGAGTTGTTAGGAGAGCATTCTACTCCCCTAATGTATTATTGTGCAAGGATGTATCCCAACTTAGCATAATTGACTACCCATTGGCACACTATGCACGATATGATAAATTAGGTTGTTGTTTTGCAATATGCTTGCAAAGTAGTTGCACCGGAAATGACATTCACGTGTTAGAGTGCTTTATGCCGCCAAACAACAAAGACTACTACGGTAATCAACAGACTGCATTGAGGAAAATATTGGAAACGATGAGGAAAAATTTTCATACTTTTAAGCTTGCTTCTGGAGAAGAACTTGGGGGACATTTATATATTGAAGAAATTCCTTTTCAGAATGGTGAGAAACTTGATTTTGTTCAAATGTCCCAGACTACTAAATCTTTGCCTATGCTGGAGCCCTTACAAACTGGAAGAGAGATGACACAACTGGATTTATCGAATCAACAATCAATGGATGCATTAAACAATGAAAGCAATGTTGTAAGTGCGGAACGAAGCAACATTGATGTTACTTGTTCATAGGGAAAAGGCAAAGCAAAGAGGCCAAAAAGAGTGCACAATAAAACTGGAGTTAAAATTGAAATTCCTTTAGATGATATCCTACAAAATTCAAAAAAGAGCATCAAGGTTGCTGCAGATAATCTCCAAGGTATCTGCACTCTTAACAAATTAAAATAGAATATTGCTCGTGATTTTACTTAATATTTTCAACTCAACATTCTTCTCGTAAAGAAATATTTGACATTTTGCACTAACAAACATAAAGTTGTATCTTTTAGCTAGATTCTTCTTTTTGCAGTTAGCCAATCTACACTAAAGCGTGTTTGTAGGCGTTATGGTTTCTCAAGGTGGCCACCACGCAATAAGAATAAGGTTGGTTCCTCTCAACCTAGTGAATCTTCCCCGGGTGTTGATCATCAACAAATACTACAATTAAGTTCTAATCAGCCTTTTAGTCAAGCCTTAGCTGTTGTTGTCCACGCAAACCCACATAATACAGTGATCCGAGATGCAAATATTGTGACCGTGAAGGCAAAATATATCAATGATATTATAATAAAGTTTTCGTTGTCTTTGTCATCGGGACTAGTTGAGTTGCAGCAACAAATCGCCAATAGACTGCACTTAGAGGATGGAACTTATTATGTCAAGTATAAAGATGAGGATGACGACTTAACTGTAATAGCTTGTGATTAGGACTTACAAGATTATATAAGCAGTTCTAAATCGCTAGGCAGCACTACCATCATGGTATTCATTGTTCCAAAGTAGTCAATTATTAGTGACCAACTTGAATCATTCCAGTTTTTTTCGTTGTTGCTATATTTTCTTTTGTTCTATCTTTTGATTCTAGAGATGGTTGTTGCTATCATGCCTTGTTTCCTCTGTTTCAGGAAGGTTGGGAGTGTTTTGGGTTTTTTTGGTTTCCTCTTGGCAGTTGGGTTCTGGCCAACTGTTTCATTCTCCCCTTTTGTAATGTTGTAGTAGCATTAATAAAATGTTACTTTCTTTGCTGATCAAAAAAAAAAAAAAAATCCCTCACTTCATCAGAATGAACCTGAAATGATGCAGTTATTTCCTGTTTATATGGAAAATGCACAATAGCAGAAGTGTTCATTGAGTTGGCATGTCAAGCAATTGACTCCATCATCAACGTTTTCACCTTTTATAGCTAGGACAGAAATGAAAGGCAGGATACAAAAGCCCCATAAAAATTCAAACTCAATTAAATGCAAAGGCAAAACATACCGTGAAGAACAAAAACAATTTAAATCAATTATGGTTGAGACCAAAGCTTGTAAAAAAATTTAGGGTAAATTATGTTGGGTTTGCAGACAAGCTTCAATGGAAAGCCCAAGCTTGGGGGTGGGGCCCCTGCAACAGAATTTTTTCCAAGCTTGTTTGGCTATTTTTGGCCCATGGACTTTTACCCTATATAATGTAACGGTGTTTATACATTCTGTGGTTAGAAAGAAGAGAGATATTGTTGCCGTTTTTTAGTGTGAGGGAGAAGAAGAATGTTTGTAATTCTATACTCAATATAGTGAATTTGTGTGGCTCCTAAAAACATAGGCATGTTGCCGAATTTCATATATCTGTATGTTCTATCTATTTGTTTTTTTTTTGTGATTCATAGGGTTTAGGAATTGAACACGCAGTTTAAATCCTAACAAATTACACTAACCTCTCCTAAGTTTTGGAGAAAATATAGTAAGTCCTACAAGTTTTTGGTACAATTATACTGGACTCCTTTATGGTTTTAATTCATATCACTCTTACCTCTTTTTTCATAAGAAATTCACTAGTCATATAAATGAAAAATATTGTTTTCATCTCTCTTACATTAAAATATATATTTCACCTTGTATATTTTTTTGTCTTTATACCATTTGCATTAATTTTGGTCTCTTTAATTTTACTAAAAAGGAGGTCAGTGTAATTATTTTAAAAAACCTCTATCCAAAAATTAAATTAGAGTTAGAGCTTGTAAAAACATCTTTTCAATTAAAAAAAAACATAATTCAAATTAAAATAGCATTTAATATTACAAACTATTAATAAAAAAATCCAACACCTGTTACTCAAAAATAAATGTTCAGAACTTGAATAGAATACCACTGTTAACAAAAAAATATGTTATGCATTATGAAATATAATCTAAATTTTATTCTGAAAAGTGACTGAGTGTATGGTGTAAATTTAAAATTAATGGAATATAAATCACACTCACAATAAATGTAATCTATTGATTTATTTTTTTAGGTAATTTTTTTATGAGTTTATAGTATTGTTGTATATTAATTATAGGATCTTGTATTACAATATATATATATATGTGTGTGTGGGAAATTTTATGATACACACCCCTCCAAGGTTGTGTACCATAATTTTATCACAAATGCACCCTATCACAAATTAGCATAATTTTATCACAAAATTTCGTAACATCAACCACAAAATGTGTAATCTCATCACAAATTGACTAACAAAAAATATTGTAACCAAATCACAAACTTTTGTCACATGAATCACAAAATTTTGAACATTTTGTTACGTTAATTTATGACGAGAGATATTTTATAATTGATATTACGAATTTTTGTGATAATATTATGCAAATTTATAATAGGGTACATATGGTTGCAATTTCCCTATATGCTGAATGATCTTCATTGTGCAAACATGGCCCTGTGGATGTCACTGGAAGTATTATTATCTTTGCCATTGTACTTATTTTTTTCTCAATAGATGAGAATCATAAAATGAACCATAAAGCAAATGGCAAAACCCTAAATTTGGTTTAAATGTGAAATGTCACTATGTTAGATTATCTTTGATAATATTAGGTATTTTATCTATCTAAAAGTTATTATAATGTATATACTTTATTTTACCTATCTACCTTTTTTATGTTTGCACTGTAACCGTGCTTTTGATTTTAATTATTCATCCAAATATTACTCACTTTAAGGAATGCCACATTAGCAACAAAGATAGAGGGGAAAAAAAATCACAAGGGTCAAAAATATTTTGCTTAGCCTTTGAAGGTTAGTTTCATTTAGCTAATGAATGTGAGTTGAAGTAAAATGCCTAATTATAGACCTAGTGTATTGGAGTTTAAACAAATAAATTATACTATGCAGTTTAAATAACATATATTATGCATTTCAACTCTTAAGAGCAACTCCAAGATTGTTATACAAAATGCCTTGTAAAATACCCAAAAAAAAGTACTCATTTTATTGAGTTGATCATCAACAAATATCACAATTAAGTTGTGATTTGCCTTACAATCAAGCCTCAGCTACTGTTGATCATGCAAACCCAAATAATACAGCAATCGAAGATGCAAATATTCTGACCATGAGGGCAAAATATATTAATGATATTACAATAAGTTTCAGCTGTCTTTGTCATCAGGACTGGTTGAGTTGCAACAACAAATAGCCAAGAGGCTAAACGTAGAAGCTGGAAGTTATTATGTCAAGTATAAAGATGAGGAAGATCACATGATTTTAATAGCTTGCGATGACGACTTGCAGGATTGTATTAGCACTTACAGATTGCTGGGAACTTCCATCGTGGTATTGCTTGAACCAAAGCCAATTACCATTGACCAGCTTGAATCATACTAAAATCTGCTTGTGTTTATGCATTTTTCATTTTTATTTTATTTTTTCCAGATAACACTTTTCATTTTTATTTGTTTAGATGTCAACTCTTTCACTTTATCATAATGAACCCCAAATGATGCAGTTATTTCATGGAAAATGCACAATTGCAACAATGTTCATTGAGTTGGCATGTCAAGCAACTAACTTCCCTCAGCTGCACTTTCACTTTCTTACACATGAAATCCCCACCTTTTATAACTAGAACTGAAACAAAGGCTAGATAGGAAAGCCCTTGTATAAATTGAAACTCTATTCAATGCGAAGGCAAAACATACCCTGAAGCAGAAAAGCAACTCAAATCAATAATGGTTAGATCAAAGCTTGTAGGAAAAAAAAAATTTAATTTGAGTTAAAGCTTGTCAACTATAGTGTCAAGCATGGTTCTAAATCGAGGTATCGGGTAATGTAACAGTATCAATCACGGAGTACCGGTATCGGTAGTATCGGTAGGTACGTATCGTGGGAATTGATTGTTGCGGACATGAAATTTTAAAAGAAAAATGCTATGGACCCCAAATGAATTACCAACTTTTTACCAAACCTCTCACATGGGTGTGGGACCCACACAAATCACATGTGTGTGGGTTCCACACCCATGTGAGCGATTTGGTAAAAAATTTGGTAATTCATTTGGGGTCTCTAGCATAACTCATTTTAAAATCATTTTACAGGTTTTTCAGCACTTTCTTTCCCATACTGCTATTCTAGTGAGTATTCAAAACAGAAGCTCGATTTTCCGTTACGTAACGGCCATTTTTTTTATAATTATTGTGTCAAGCATCAAGATGAAGATCTTGAGTGACTTTTGATGACCTGCAGCGCAAACTCATTAAGCAATCAAGTTTGCCAATTCTAGGAATTTCAGTAAAAGCTGCTAGTGTACTCCAACCAACACTCTCTTTCATGGTGAATTGAACTTGTTAATATTCTCTTTTGTACTTTCTAGTTTGCATTAGATACTTTAAAGTTGTGTTTACTTCATATATTTGGGTACGAATTTGAAAACGGAAAGGAAAATTTGAGAGAAATGGGAAAAAAATAGTTTATATTTCATTCACATTTTCCTCACATTTTCTTTTTCCTTTCCAATTTCTTTTTCAAATCTATATTCCAAACACAAGCTAAAAAAATATATTTCCAGTGAACAAAGTCTTTTAACAGGTAGATAATCTCTGCTGGAAATTCCATTATTCTTTGCTCTTATCTTGGCAATCGTTGAATGTTACCATGTTACCGTGTTACCTTCAGTTGGTCTTCTTCTTAGCCAACAATCTTTTGTGCAGTGGCTAATCTTGCCACAATTCAAGCACTCTATGTTGCGTCGTCAAAACTCCATCGGTCTTCGATCATCTTCATTGTTATCGGACCGAACTCCCTCTCTTTGATAGCTTCTATCATACTGCTATTTTTCATCTTCTTCTTTCTTTGTTCTTTCATATTTTTGCCACTTCGGTCCATCTCTTCTCTTGCTACTGAATAATACTTCCTCTCCACTTTGTTTCTTTAGTGTGACTCCGGCCATTTGCTTAGCTAGAGTTTCTTGATTCGCCAATAGACTTTCCAACTCGACTAGTGATGGTTGAGTGGACCATCCTCTAATGGTAGCCATAAGCCCACTATACTCAGGTCTTAAACGTCAAGTAATAACGCGCCTCATTCTAGATTCGTTAATTTTCTACTCATGATCCAATTGTGAAATTTCATTGCAAAGAGTCTTTACCTTAAGAAAATATTGACTATTAGTCATCGACCCTCATATAACTATTGCAAGCTCGTTCTCTAGATACTAGAGTCGTGCATCATTTGTCTTGGAAAATACCGCCACAAATATATCCCAAATCGCTTTTGGAGTAGTAGTTTCCCAAACATACTCCAATAACTCTTTCTACACGGTTGTCCTTAACATGAACGTCGCTTTTCTAGCCTTGGTTCGCCACTTTCGCAAGGATTCTGCATTTTCTTCTTCAGGTGGAGTAATATGTTTGCCATCAACGATTTCCCATAGATCTTGACCTTGAAGATATGCCTTTATGCATATTTTCCAAGTCATAATTATAACAATTTAATTTCTCTATACATCCGATGAAGTTTCTGAAATCCGACATAACAATTGTGCTCGTCGACTTCAACAATCTCATGTATCAATTTCAATCTTTTTTTTTTTTTTGGTCGGCCCCTGAACGACCAATCTCTGATATCATATTGTTGAGTTTGACACACTAGTGGACCCAAAAATATAACATTTATTGATAACACTCAAGTACACTTGTACAACCACACACTAATACACATCACTTATTCGTTCACATAATACATTCAAGCACTTACACTCAGACCTTGTACCTTCCTCACACAAGACTTTAGACACGTCTCACTAAATCCCTCGTGTAGTGCTTAACCACTCACTTACTCAATTGTTTAGAAACAAACCTCATCCACAAAATGAGTGGTGATAAATTTGCTTCTAGAATATTCTAGGATACACCTCTGACTTCTACTGCACTCTAGAATTATCTAAACTACTCTAGTTCATATTGACTAACAGTCATCGACCCTCGTATAACTGTTGCAAGCTTGTTCTTACCTAGCTTTGTATCACTGAGGTCCCATTTGAGTGTCTGGATTGGATATAAGAGTTTGAGGAGTATATGTAATACCTAAGAATAAGGATAGGATATAATATGTTATAGGATATGAGATGGATTATATATACTATGGAGGAGGGGTCCCTGCTGTGACGTAAAATGCCACCGTTTTAATTTTTTTTTATTTAATTAATGTGAGGGTTCATTAATTCTTATTTCACTATAACAAACAAAACAATAAACCTAATAGGGATGCTTCCATCTTCACTGTAAGCAAAAAGTCTCCATTTACATGGAGTGAAAAGTTAGCTTTTATTTTTTATTTTTTTATTTTTTAACATTTTTATCTTCTCTCAAACAGATTGAACAGTGTTTTCTATTTTTGCTTCACCGTTCTTCTGCTGAATTTACAGACCATTATTGTTCAACAAACTGGTATGTGTATCTATCTATATATATATATATATATTATATGTATATATGTTTTGTATTTTATTTTGTACAGTATGTTAGTGGGTTCAACAAATATAATAGTTTGGTTTGTTTTTTGTGAATAGATTGAGAAACACAATTGTATATTATAAGAAAAAAAATTTATTATATAATTTGTTTTGTACATATTATGTATTTTTGTATAAATATTATATAATTTTTTTAAGGAGTTACGATAATTTGTAATTCATAATTATTTTTTTTATAGCAATGTTATGTATTTTTGTGGAAATATTACACATTTTTATAACAATGTTATTTATTTTTGTAATAATGTTATGCATTTTGTGGTCTAAAAAAAGTTTCAATAAAAAAATCTATAATCTTACTATAAAATGCGAATTTAATTTTTTAATCATAAATTGTTATAACTCAATAAA